GAAAGTACTTTCCAGAGCAGATAATCCACAAGGATGGAACCTCCCTACCCTGGAAGGAATTTCCCCAAAGGACTGTCAGCCGTAAGGAGCCAAGTCAGAGCCAGGGTCAAGGCCTTTAGGAGGGAACAGTCCTGCTTGGGGCAGGCCGCAGGCTACACGTTGACCCCCTTTGTGCCCCGGGGCCTTGAACACATCAACCAGCACACGCCCCGCGTCCTGCAGGAGCAGTGAGAAGTCCTGATGGCTCAGCGCCTCCGCCGAGATGCCCTCCTGAGCTGATACACCGGGAAGGTGGGGAAATATTGTTCTTAGAATAACACCTTTCAATATTTTGCTTATGGCCCGGCCAGTATGGCTCAGCGGTTGAGCATCGACCTAGGAACCAGGAGATTGGGGTTCAATTCCCGGTCAGGACACAGGCCCCGGTTGCCGGCTCAATTTCAGGGGGGGGGGCTTGCAGGAGGCAGCCGATCAATGACTCTCATCATGGATGTTTCTCTCTCTCTCCCTCTCACTTCCTCTCTCTGAAATCAATAAAAGATATTTTTAAAAAAAAGATTTTGCTTACTGTTGATAATGCTCCCAGACATCCTTTTATTGGGGATCTTCATCAAAATACCCAAGTCGTGTTTGTCCCTCCAAACACACCTCTCAGGTCCAGCCATGGGATCAGGGAGTTACAGCAACTTTCCAGGCCAATTACCTGCGCAGGCCCTTTGCCAGGCGGTTGCCACACCAGAGGGCGACGCCAGGGAGACACTGATGCAATTCTGGGAGGATCACAGCCGCTGTGGCCGCCTCAGGAACCCCCTGGGCCTGGGGCGATGTTACCAAGCAGCGTACGAACGGCCTCAGAAAGAAGACACGCCAGAGTGTTGCCCGTGACTCCAGGGGCCCTCAGAGGAGGTTACGACAATCCCCGAGGCTGCGGCTGGGCCGGCCAACGGCTTTAATCGCCGGGCGTGGGCGAGGGCGACGGCCCGCAGCTCCTGGAGGTGGTTCCCGAGGAGCCGACTGATGAGGAGGGGTCAGAGCCGGACCGAGAATCCGGCGCTGAAAGAGAAGCGAGAGGAAAGGGAACTGGAGGAAAAGGGAAAGAAGACCCCCAAGAAAACGCACAGCGAAGGCCTTAGCAGAGGCGTGTGCAGGGCTCAGCAAGCTCCTTAGAAAGTCGGAAACCGTGGGCCCGACACCGAAAGGCCTTCACTAATGGAGGGAAGGCTCCTGGCCCACTGTCTGCCTTCAGGTGGGCCTACGATGAAGAAAACAAGCCAAGCCAACCGCCAGGGACGTTTCTGAATAGAGACGCCTCCTCAGGGAGGGCGGCAGGCGGGTCCTTCCGGAGCCGTCCCGAAGGAGGTGCTTTCGTGGCAGGAGGGGCGCCCGCGGGTGTTGCTTCCCCTGCGGACCTCCCACTGGGACAGGGTGTGCAGGTGGGAGGGGGATAGTGCCCACCCTGGCCCGGGGCTGCTGAGGCTCTTGTGTGTGCCTGTGTCTTAGTTTTTAACAAAAAAGTTAAAATTAAAAAAATTTAAGATAGAAAAAGTGCAGAGAATATAAAGAAATGAGATATTTTTGTACAGCTTACAATGTGTGTTTGAAGCTCAGTGTTGTTACAAGAGTCAAAAAGTTTAAAACAATTTTTTTAAGTTTATAAAGAAGTTGCAGTGAGCTAAGGTTCATTTATTATTAAAGAAAGAAAAGTATTTTTATCAATCGAGTGCAGACAGGAAGTGGACAGCCTCCGGGACACCCCCCGGCTCACCCCCGCTCACCCGGAGCCGTCCGGTCCTGCGAGGTTTATTGGAGGCAGGCGTGCTGTGAGGTGAACCATTTCCATCGTTTGTACGGTATTTTTACTGTTTCCTGCACTTACACGTGTTTGGATACATTGTGTCGCAGTTGCCCACGGCGCTCGGTACAGTAACGCACGGTGCGGGTTTGCAGCCCAGGAGCAAGGTTACACCAGGCACCCGGGCGGGCAGCTGGCTGTACCACCTGGGCCTGTGCCCGCCGCCCTGATGTTTCCATGACAACGGAATCGCCTAGAGATGCCCTCCTCGGCG